GAGAGAGAGAGAGGGAAGGAAGAAGAGAGAAGAGGTGAAGGTAGACAGTAATGAGACCAGCTAAGCAACTCTTCATATCTCTCTATTTATATATTGTTTTGTCTTTCTAGGAGTGCGCATGGACAGGTTGGTGGGACAAAAGGTTCCGGAGAGAGAGAGAGACAGAGAGAGAGAGCGCAGAGGGGAAAAGATAAAGGAGTAGTGAAAGCCGAGTCCACCACTGGTGGTGCCTTTGGTTTCAGTGAAACGGAGTGGAGGACGGGGAAGTAAAAAGGTGGGAGGAGGAGGAGAGCGAGCGAAGTGTCGGCGGTCGCGTTCGTGTGCCAGAGTCGTCCTCGTGACCGTGCTTCGTTACGAGAGCGCAGATCCTGTGTTCCGAAAGAATCACCAAACTGGAGAGGCTCCCTTACCATTGGCGACGACTCTGGGCTCCACTTCAGAATTACCTATCGCTAGCTGTCTGCGACCTGCGGCCGCACCTCACGGCTCAGCCTCGCGAATAACAAGCGGACGTGGGACCCGCGGTGTCAACCAATGGACATGGGCCTGACCCACTGATGCGACGAATGGAAAGACTCCCTAACATGTTCGGTGGCTCAACAGGACAGGTGAAGCCGGACCATTTCTGTCGCTTGGTCGGGACTTCACGGGATCTCGCCCTTCGCATTAATACGACTACCCCATCGGCTACACGCTCCTGATTTACGTACAAGTCGTACCTCTCCTAACGAAAAGGTTGCGCCTACACCAGCGTCGTCGCACGGTCCTATAGCAGGGCGGGTAGCCGATCGGGTGTTCCGTGGACAGGTAGAAGAAGCATTTTTGTCGAATCGACAGGCTAAGATATTTTTCCTCCTCAACCATCGCGTGGAAGTATAACAAACAAATCTTGGTCTCGGACCCAAGCAAACAATTAGAGAAAGTTGGCCATATGATTAGTTGCAAACTAATGTTCGATTGAGATTAATTAGATAATTATTTTTTTCTTTTCATTTTTCCGCATAAAAATTTGGAGTTCCCTCAGCTAAATTTTATTTCATCCAATTCAAAATCATCCAAAATTTTTCTTCAAAAATTACTCTCGTTACATTTCATTTCAAACTTATTTAATTTTGCCTGAGTGAAACGATATGACAACAAAAAATTAAAAAGTAATCGATAATGAACATATTGGCAAATAATCACATAAAAAGTATTTATTTTATAATTTTTTGTCATGAAACAATTTCCATTATATGTGTTTCTTGTTATTACAGATCAAGGTATAAAAGAAAAAGATTTCATATTACAAATAAATAGTATGTGAGAATCTATAACTGATGGGAAAATTGTTTCATTTTTAATAATGGAAAAGGAAGACTTATAATATTATATCGAAAATCTCTAGTGTGGATATTGTAGCATGACAGCAACTTTGATTAATTGGAATCATGGGTTTTGGTAGGTCCAACATTGTTTTCAGTTGAGAGATGGTGATGGCCTAACCTAGTTTGAGATGTCCTCCTTCAATGGTAGCTCACCCCTATTGGTATGGCTAAACATGGAGTGGTTTGCACACACAGGTGGATTAGGACAGTGTGAGAGGAACTTGTACTTGGTTCAATCAACTCTTCATTGCTGAATTCATGTTCTTGGATTATAGTGGGATTTTGATACATGGTTAATGCCCATCCCCTCTTGTTTAGCAATCAACAACAAAGGTTGGGTAATGAAAAGAGCTTCGCAACCAATCTGAATCCCAAGTGAGATGTATTATCGAGAATTAATCAAGAGATTTATTTTTGAAAAAGAAAAAAAAAGATAAAGATTAATATACATCATCATATCTCTTCCAAAATCATCATTCACAATGTTAGGCTCATAATAATCAGAAATTTCTGAAATAATAGTATGGAATTTTATGATACCATTTAAAAGATATTAAGAATCCAGAATGACAAGGAGTTGATAACAATGGGAATCAGAATTAGGCTACACATCTGTGGTGAATGCTAGTGAAAGGCTACCAACAATGAGTTTATAGCATGACTGAAATAATAAAAAACTCATGTCCAACTTATTTGTGGTTATGGCACTTGTGAAGCCATTGGTGACGACAACAACAACAACAAAAAGAAAAAGAAAAATGCTGCCACATTGATGTGACTGAAAATATTATTTTTCTGCTGAGAAATAGATATCCTTCCTTCCCTCCCCATAAATAACATAGTTGTCCAATTCTGCTAACAGTATTTGGATGCAACTGAGATTGGCTGATTCCTTGATGACACAACCTGCAAAGGGACTCTCCACCTTATAATTGACACCAAGATGTGATGAATGAAATGGCTATTTCTCTTTCTGTGATGAATTAACGGGGGACCTAATCATGCTAATTCATTCTCAAGTACCATGAATCATATAACACAGTTGGACTGGTTTCCCAGGACAACATCATCCCCTGCAGCAGGGTGTTTAATCATTCTGCACATTGGAAACCTTCTCTCTGCTGCAAGACATGCAGACACTTGGATGGCATGCGAACACCAGCATGATCTCAGCCTGATGAAATCCAACCTAAATCGACTTGATGTTCTCTGCATGGTGTAGAGTTAAAAGGCAATAATGCTGCAATGCGTGTGGAATGCTGATGAGAGACATGTTCTCAGCAGGTGCTTCAGAATTCAAGCTCCCAAGCAGCAATGGCTGCAGCAACTGCAGTGGCATCCAAAGTAAAGCGAGGAAGGAAACAGGAACTTGAGCACAGATGCCAAAGACTTCTCCCGAGAAAGAGAAGAATACTTTGGTGGGATAACCTCCACCTTTAGCATCTTCATTCTTCTCCGATACTCCAACCAGAGTAATCATCTTCTTTCAATTCTCTTCTCTTTGTATCCATCCACTGCCCTCTTCATGGTCCCTCCTCCTCCTCCCAGTGTCACACTCATAACAGGATATATCCCAGCATCAGGAAAAGTGGGTTGCTGCTGGTGGTGTGTTGTCTGCTGAAGGATTTAATATGGATTGATTCTAGTGATCATTTGTTGTGGTCCAAGTTTGGCATCGAGTGGAATGAGAAACATAAGCCAAGCATATTTTTCTTGAAGAACAGAAAAAGCCAAACACATAGGCATGATGGTTAATAGTTTTCCCCATTCCTAGCTTGATTTGTTTTTCTTTTACTGGTTTTTTTGTTCTGTGCAAAGTGAACTCATTTGGAATTCTTTATGATGATTTCTTGGCTCCTCCAGATCCCTCATTTCCATTTGACTTAATCTTCTCCTCATGTGATGGCCAGCTACTAGTCATGGGATCATCTACCATCCAGGACACTGATTATTACCAACAAGAATGTAACATATTTTGTCCAATCTTTGTCAGAAATCTTAAACCAGATGTTGATAGAGATCTTAAGATAAGATTCCTCGACAAGGCAGTGAACTCACCATTGCTCTCATCCAATAAAAAATGACCTACATCAGATCTTGAGTTGGTGAAGGTGGAAGTGGGGTGGATGTATTGTCTAGACAATCAACAGAAGCAGAGCAGAGCTGGATGATAAAATATTGCTTCTCTTTTGAACAAAAAGAAAAAACAAAGGAATCCAATAAGCCTTATCCAATCCATGTTTCACAAGAGCTTGCGCTCAGTGTGTGCTTAGTCGATTTGCATGCAGGAAAAATTCTTGATAAATGTAATTTAAAGACCAATAAATTAATTCAAATACTTTTGTGGGTAAAAGTAGTGAATTCAGTGTCATGTAGGGCCTTGTAGATCACTGAAAGAGAGAACATTAATATGTCCTCACATGCCGATCATTTCAATTCCGGACATCACAGTAAAAGTTTGCAGAATCTATCTACATTTCCCTAGAAATCATGCAAGAGAACATTGGATTCCACATAAACATTGGCCCCCCACCAAAACTTTGGAGCTTTTCTCTTTTAACTGCTACTCTTGTACTCATCTACAGTCATAATACTAGATCTGAAGTGCATGTTGTATCCGCAACCTTTTTCTTCTTTAGCTTCAGTGTGTGCAGTGCCTTTGAAGGAGTTACTATTTGGCTGAAAGTTTACAGTGACCAAAAACAAATGCAGCTCAAGCAAAACATTTTTTTCCTTAGGAAATCAATCGTTCCAAATGCGCAAACCATTTCAGTCAGCCGTTTTGCTCATCGCATAACAAGTATCATATATTGACCATCAAATCTCATTTTATCACGAGAGGATACAACCAAGTGTGAGGCTTATGATGTCTGTTTCTTTATCCTCTGCAGTCTATATAAATAGTCTTTGTTGCAGTCAGCAGCATAGGGATTGACGTCTTCACTTCTCTCTCTCTCTCTCTCTCTCACAAAAGCAGTGTATACACCAACTCATGGTTAGCAGCCCTGCTAGACAAACTATTTTTCATGTTGACTCTGCACCATCATGGACATGTAGTGAAGAACGATCTCTGCTTCACTTCTCTTTAGTCTTCAGATGGTGCATCCTCCCACGCTACAGAAATTTAATGGAGCTTCCACAACGGTGAACAAATTCTACAACAAAGACGCAGATCCCAAGGAGCATGTAAGTCCTTGCAAGGCAAAGCAAGTCTCAGCAGATCCTCAGAGTTTACTGTTGATGGAAAGCCTGCATCTGGAAAGACAAGCTTAAAAGTGAGGTGCGGAAACTGGTGATAAAAGAACTGGCAATAGCTCTGCCATGGTGGGTGTGATCCAACCTCCTGCAACATCCATCAAACACTTAAGAGTTCTTCAGTGCCCATCATTGCCTGTTTCAGCATGGTGGATAAATTGAAGCATTAAGCTTGCCTAGACAGGTGCTGCTGACTAATCAATCTAATGAGTGCTAATGCAGCAGTGTAAATACACACCTCTTTGGATTGTATATCCTGAGGGTTCTGGTAAATCTTTTGCTCGAATGAGGACTCTATCCATATGTGCTGGAAGTATATTAGATATCGAGTCATGTGAAAATGATAAATAATATATATATATATATATATATATATAATAAAATATAATTTAACATTAAATATATTATAGATTAGATTAGTGATAGAATACTAAATAAATCATGAGAAAAGATTTGTATAGAAAAACCGTTCAGGAAAAATTAAGGGTAAGTCAGATCAATCTTCCACGAAATCATAAAATTTTATACTAATCAAGGATGGTGTCTAGATTAGCATACCAAAAAATTATAACAATCATAAGCAATTTTAGTAATAAATAGTCAAATTTTTTTTCTCCCAAGATGATAGCTTTTTTCATTTTTGTGATGATCATATTTTAAAATTTTCTCATCTAACTTATATAAAATTAGGATTAACATTTTTTTAAGTAACTCTCCCAACAATGAGGTCACTGAAATCTCAGCTCAAAAAGTTAGATCAGCACTAGAATACACCCCAGACCAGTGATGAATCATACAGCAAGGCCACAAAGGAAATGGATAGAAGTCTGTATGAAACAGGAAAAAACACATTGTATCATGGTATTTACTTGATCTTTCTTTTATTTTCTGCAAATTCACATACTAGTTCCATTAGGGACAAATTACTCAAGAAATGAGGTAGAACAACCAAGTATGTAATGAGGAAGAAAAAGTCATATATGAGGGATCAATAGAACCACAAAATTAAGTGCAAATTTCACCTGCTAGAAATCACAGCAGAACAAAGTATATGACATGCCTGCATCAGTGACATGATGTCTATACCCTTGACAATTTGATGAGAAACCTACTGAATTGTAGCCCAGATTCTACAAAATAATTGTATGAAAGGATTGAAATACACTACTATGTTCTATTAAGAAAAATATTTCTTTTCTGCTCAACTTATAACATCAAAAATCCATAAGTTGATCGTAAGTTGGAATGGGCCAAACAAATGGTCATCACCAAAGGTAGGAATAGAGATGAATTGTTCTTTTCTGTTGCCTTCATTCTTATAATTTGCGGCTTAGCAATTTTGTTTGTCTTGGCTCAAAGACATACAAAAGCATGCCAAGCTTTCTCAGCAATCGGAAGATAGCATTTGGGCTTACTGAGCCTGTGGATCATAGCTCGACATGTGACAGATTTTAATATTGACATTTTAGCATCGAGATTGATGAGTGTTTTCATCCTCATCAATTATAAGAATAAATACCAATTGAATATAAGAATAATATTCATTTAGATTGCCTACACAGATACTGTCAGGATGAATAAATACCAATTGAATATTGTTCACATTTAGTTGCTTTGGATCTTAAATGTATACATACAGTCAGAATGATATTGTATGGAAAGAAAGAGGGTGAAGTCATCAAAGAAGAAACGTGAAATGTCTGGAGAATGATGAGTCATTTATGCATGAAATGAATCCAAAGGTGCCTTACAAAGTAAAACATTCAACAGAGATTGAAAGTGCGGAGAAATCTGTTGGCAGAATGATGAACAAGAAACTTCGGAAGGAGAGACGGATTCATGCGGCAAGGACTCGAGGGAATCACAGTTCAATCTCACTCGAGGCATCTCAACATTTTTGGGTTTGAACCATATGGATTGCATTGAAACTGAAAGTATAGTTCAGCATGATCCTAACATATGTAAGCCCATGTAGCTCATAGCGGACAGCCAAACAACGATCATGATACAAGAATGCAGCATGGAGCTCAATTTAAGGGATGCAAACACACATTTATGTGTGACCATCATGAATCACTACTTCACACCCCACACCATCCACAAAGCTCTTTAAAGATCAAAACTTGGAGAGAAAAAAGTCAGTAATTCAGACATAAATATGTTAGTAGGGATGAAGTGCACAGATATGCACATCTAACTTTGTCATGCACACTACTTCGAGACTTGCAAGCAAATCAAACACAAGCTTGTTGTTGAGCTTGAGAGGAAGAGGGGATGGCAGCTTCTGCTAACACTGCTGCTGCTCGAAGAACAGGAACAGATGCAACCTTTTTATTCACACTTAAACCCCTCGTTTGATCACTCTGTTTCATTGGTTTCCCAAATCCGGCATTAGTCTGAGACTGTCATCACTGTGTCTTCATCTGTCCCTTCTTTTCCCTGTCTCAATAACTCTGAAGAGTTTAGCCTACCATCTTAACCTTCCTAATCTCAACTAATAAAGACAAGGGCAAATATAATACGGTACAAGCCACTGTGGACTGAGCAAGAAAAAGAAGAGAGACGACATGGCAGGAGAAGATGAAGCAGGCAGCTACAGTTGTCGGTCCACGTCCGAGCTGTCGGGGCTCGGCGCCTGGTTGAGATCGGGGTTCTTGGTCGGCCGCGATGGCCGTGGCTGCGGCTGAGGCGGTGACGAAGCTGGCATCGTCCGCAGGGAGGCGTCCACCCGCGCGCCCACCTCGATGGCTTTCTTTCGGACGGAGGCGGCCGAGAGGGCGAGCTGGGGGTCACCGCCGCCGCCGTCGTAGCAGGCGTCGGCGGGGACCTCGTCGGGGAAGTTGAGCCGGGCGGAGCGGCCCCTGAGGAGGTAGACAGCGGTGTCGTAGGCCCTGGCGGCGGCCTCGGCGGTGGAGTAGGACCCCAGCCAGATCCGTGACCGCTTGTTGGGCTCCCGTATCTCCGCCACCCACTTCCCCCACTTCCTCATCCTCACCCCTCTGTACTGCCGCTGCCTGGCGGCGTCGGCGGGGGGTGGTGAGGGTTGAGGCTTCCTTGTCTCCCCGCTGGTGGAGCAGCAGTGGCCATCCATCTTCCCCACGGGATCTCCCTCTTTCTTGGCACGCTGTTAGATCTTATTCATGTTGGCAATTATAGCGGTATCGATGAACACATTGTCAGAATAAAAGGGGGAGACCTTTTTTTGGACATATGCAAAGGTCTAAGCTTTGACAAGGAAATGACTACAAGTGTTCTTTCGGACTTTATAAATTATAATTAAAATCATTAAAAAAATATTTTTTTAAAAAATAAATCTTAATTGCGAATATTTACATTTGATTATATATATATATATATAAAATACACTCACACATAAAAGCCAGCCCCAATAGAAGGTCCTTAATGTGCTCATTTAGTATGAAAATGAGATCAATAAAGCAACAACCTAATGAGCCTCCAAAAGTAGATATGGTGCTTTGGCTTCCTAATTAATTACAGTACCAACTTGTCATCAGAAGACTTTTCTCCAGCTACCTAATTGGATTTGGTGTCATATCTCTGTATCCCCATCATCAATCTTTTTGGTTCCCTGTTTGGGCTTTCATGAAGAGTGACAACCACAACCGACCAAATAGCTTATGAAAAGATGAGGTACAGTTTCACACTTACCTCAAAGCTCACACGAGGCACCCCTTTTGACCCGTGAAACAAGTCAGTCAAGTCATCTGCTTGCTCTTGACATCTTCTCCCTAGAAAAAGACTAGGAAGATCAAGACGTAGTGCTTCTCAGCCACTGCAAAGTCTGATGTTCATGTAAGATCTCTTGACGCTCTTAAGAAAGCTCAATTGTAACAATCGATGATGATGAAATCATTAACAAATGAAAGTCTTACAAGTGTTTCCCTTTTACATTGATGTGTTGGGAGTTAGATATTCTTTCGTTTGTAGCTAATGAGGCGCTAAGATATTAGAATGATAAAAAAAAATTATTATATAAAATTTAATATTATAATTAAAATTAAGTATCATAGATTCAAGATAAAAAAATAGATATTTTTTTAATACAATAATCAATATAATATCTCGGATATCATAAAATAATGATCTATATGAATAATAAATCTTCAAAAGATAGAATTAGACTCTTTTCCTCTTTTATTATTTTTAGAATTATTATACTTGATAGGGTAGAAACCTATAAATGGTGGGGATATAAAGAGGAATAACCTTTGTATATGAACAAATACTAGAAGACCATAATACGCAACGGAATTAAATAGAAACACAATTAAACAGAACACCAAGATATACGTGGAAAACCCCTTTAATGTAAAGGGTAAAAACCACGGGGCAAACTAGAGATAATCCACTATGAGAATAATGAATATACAAATCTCAATCTCTTACCCTAAACCCTAGCAACAACCACAAGAGAATAACCGGGATACAAGGATCACGTCACTGCCCACAATATCTAAAACCTTTCCAAGTAATCACAGCAAGAGTCTACTGTAGATTTGATCTAACCTGATATGAGAACACTGCTAGATGATTGAGAACAGTCTCTCTGCGTTGTCCTTGTCTTCTTCCCTTTCTTTCTCTTCCTTTTCTGCCTTGTTCTCCTTCTTCTCTTTGGAATCTCGTGGCCCTAAAGATCTGCCTCGTTGCTGCCTTTTTATAGCCTTTTTCTACTTCTAAAACGCAGCCACCACACCCCCTAATCTTAATTAGGGTTAGGTTAAGATGAGGTGTGGGCTGTGGGCTGCCCTAGCCCACATGGGCTGAATATGGGCTATCAGCCCAACAACCCCCCCCTTCAGCCCATAAGGGAGGTTGTCCCATGACTCCTCAATGTGAAGCCATGTCGACCAGTTGTCGGCATATCTCCTGTCTTTCTTTTGGTAAGGTCTTCGTCAACATGTCTGCTCCGTTGTCATCTGTATGAATTTTCTGAAGCTGCAACTGCTTCTCTTCAAATACATTTCGAATCTAGTGGTATCTGACATCTATATGCTTTGATTTGGAATGAAACATTGTGTTCTTACACAAATGGATGGCACTCTTGCTATCACAATGCACCACATAATTTTCCTGTTTCAGCCCCAATTCTTGTAAGAATTCTTTCATCCATAACATTTCCTTGCATACCTCTGTAGCAGCAATATATTCTGCTTCT